TTCAAACATTATAGAGTGCATTTGCACGAACCCAAATGGTATAGCCTCCTACACACCTAGGCCGTATGGTGTAGCCATTATATTCGTATAGGAACAGCCTCACATATGTGGTCCACTGTTGACCAAAATGTTGTTGTGTGGCACATGACTGTACCCAATTGCCCTTCATTCACAAATGAATTATAATTGCTAGTTTATCATTATTAAAATCTGTTTTGAAATATACTTCTGCCATTTGTTCTAAAAGTCTCAATATTGTTAATATTCAGAACTTGACAATATATCATATTACTTAATTCTAAAGTCCTTCCTGGATTAGACTGATAATATTCTCTTTGGGATTTCATAATTTTGTAACTTAAATTGGTTTTAATAAGATCCCTTGTATATGTAAGAACTTTGATGAATTCCACATTGGAAATTCTGTAGATTGCACTTTAGAAACCTTGGACAAATGGTTAAAAGTAGATAATAATTATAAGGGAACTGTACTAAGTGCTTTTCAGAAGTGACCATTGATTGTTTAGGAAAAATTGAGAGAAATGGTTGGTTTTCTTCCTTTTCTGAAGGCCATTCTCCTGAGCAGCGATGGCCAGAACCTGGTGACTGGAGGGGACAATGGTGTGGTAGAGGTCTGGCAGGCCTGTGACTTCAAGCAGCTGTACATTTACCCTGGCTGTGATGCTGGCATTAGAGCAATGGACTTATCCCATGACCAGAGGTAAGCCACGTCAAGGACAAATGTCATCACTGAGCACTGTCATCGAAAGCTCTTTACATTCTACCAAAGGTGAAATGTGCTACAAATAAGGTCCCACTATTCAGTCAGAAGAAAGACTAGCACAGAAAAGGGCAAGTGCAGGGGAGGGGTAAGTATTCTCAGAAAGGATTCTGGTAAGAGAGAAGCAGAGGAAGAGAGTAAAAGGGAGAAAAGAGTAAAGAGACGAGTCTGAGGAAGAGCAGGCAAGTCCAGACACATTTTAAGGGCCCAAAACATAGAACTTATCCCCACCAGTGTCTCAGTTCTCAGATCCTCACCTAGTCTCAGACAGGCCTCCCCTGGCTGACATTCTGTGATGGGAACACGTATTTTTCAGCGGAGATGCCTTTCTGTGTAAGGCCTACTTGTAGCTAACCAATTTCTAGCAAAATGCATACTGTAGACTACAAAAAAATATGAAGCA